CAGGACTTCTAAAAAATTGACAGTGGCCTTTCCATGCTTCTCTACTGCCTACCCCCAGTTGACTTTGTTTTGTGATTTTTTCTATGAGAATGTGGCAGTCAGTCAAGAGTCATAGGGCTCTTCGTACACTTTATATTGACCACATGTCCGCGTACATTAATTTTAGGCGGGGAAGCGTGAATTTTTAGTTCCTTTTAACGCCTTTGATGCTCATTTTCCTTTGAAGTTTTTCCTGGAAGCGTGTGTACCTGTGCTGGAAATTGAGGGGATGGGAGATGCAGAAAGGTGGGTGGGATATGACGCAATATGACTCTATATAGACGTCGATGTTCATGATATTAATGTTCATGTGTAATATGTTTTCAGAATGACATTTTACGGCTTTTTAAATTGTTCTCCTTCCTTGAGAGATATAGAATGCATTTTAGTCGTTGGAAGTCTGAAATATTCTTCGCCATCCACTTTAATTTTTTTGCTCACAACAAAACAGTGTGTGGGGGATGAGGCGCCCCCACCTCAAACTGAAGTGTGGGGTGGATATATATCCCCATCCTCCGGGATTTTACGCCTATGCCAACCTCAGTATGTTCGTTGATTCTTCAACTGAGAACACCTCAGAGGTTTTGTGAATTTCATTGCACTTAGAAAATATCAATTCTGATTTAGTACGGAGTTTCCGTGCACATGCGTTTCAAAATAAGCTACCATGAGGCGATTGACTTTGTTTAAAAATAGACAAAACCATAATTTAGTATAAATGTCTCTTTTCCACTCCTACATTGGTTTTTTTTTTTCATTATGTCACATTTTTTCATTATGTCACTGTTTTTCATTATGTCACTTTTTTCATTGTGTCATTTGTTCTGTTTTGCTTGCAGTTTGATTTGGTATGCTCCAGAGGGGATCTACCCGGGCTAGCCCAATCAGTTTACTTCGGGGGCTTTTTGACGGGCTCTTTCGTGTGGGGTGCTGTAGCTGATTGGTAAATACATGTATAAATGTGCCCTCCCATTTCACCAAGGGTATTGCCGAGAACTACTGTGGGGTGGTGTTCACGAACAGATGGATCGTCTTCTGTTCAAAGAAAGTCATTCACTTGTACAGTGATGGCGTGAATTCCTTGTTGTTGCTTTTTATGAAGATACTTTATAGGCCTATAGCGGTGCTGAAATGTGAATTATAGAATTTTGAACGGGTTTTGAAAGTACTGGTGCGTTGTATGTCACATTTTCTGATGGTTTTTCTCAGTTGTACAAGTAGGTCGGATTGGGTAGGATTGAATAAGCCATTTGCGAGTTAATTTTGAATAAAATCTTGTGCACTGAGTTATCTGACTGCACATAAACATAACGATTTCAATTCCCCAGACTAAATACACTTGCTATACCTCGTGATTCGGGGCGAGCTTTTGCATAGCGACCACCACCTCTTGATTGACTGGTTCCTTTGTGCCCTTCTTAACCATTGAGAACAGTGTATTGTTGCAAGGCGTCTCTTATGTAACTAAGCAAAAGCTTGCCCCGAATCATGAGGTATAACAACAGTGGTTTTAGTAAGGAGAATTGAAGTTGTTATGTGCACATGAGTCTCCTGCGTCCACATACCCCTGCACAGCCTACATATGCAAATTTCCC